AGCGCGCCTTTCGCTCGATGAAGCAGCGCAATTTCGATGGCCACGTTATTTTGATCAATAGCATACTTGGCCACAAGCTGTTCGCTCCTATGCCGGATAAGGCGCCGGATATGAATGTCTATGCACCCACTAAGCATGCTGTGACCGCTCTGACTGAAATGTATCGCCAGGAGTTCATGGGTCTGGGTACCCGTATCAAAGTAACGGTAAGTGCCAGGCACTACAAACAAAATCAAAAGCATTGTCAGCCATCTTTAAATGGTAATGAAGGAATCCATTTAAGACAAACCTTAATCCAATGAATTCGTTCATTTTGACAAATTTTCCCAAATTTATATCAATTGCGAACAACTGTTTTCGATACTAATTCCCATACACATTTGCAGAGCATTAGTCCTGGTGTCGTCGATACGGAAATCGTGCCAGAAAATATCCGTGACATGGCTAGCAAAACAATGCTGAACGCCAAGGATATTTCGCAGGCTGTTTTGTTTACCATTGCCACGCCTCCACATATGCAGGTGCACGAGATGATTATAAAGCCAGTCGGCGAGCAGTTGTAAATTGTTTGTGTTTTTTTTTTATATATATATATACTTATATTTATGTACACAGTTCTTTGCGTTTTTTTTTTTCATTCAACAAAATAAAGGAAAATTTTGATGCACATCAATCAACTGGCCTAGAAGTATATGTTTATATAGCAACAACTTAATATTATTATAAGTAAGCCCATTGAAAATATGCAGAAAACGAGTATACTAGTTTTGTAAACATGCAGGTAACACGCGTAAACATGCAGCGCCTATCCCATTATTTATATATATACTCGATCAGAAAGTAAAGCTGAGTCAATCTAGTCATAAATGTCAGTACGTTGTAATCAAAGCTCAATCATTGTATATTTGTAGGTCTCTCACTTTTTTACCATGCAACGAATGATGCAGTTTGGGGCTGAGGGGCCACGCAAAAATAATAAAGTTTCGATTAGCATTCATTCATTCATTCATTAATTTTCTCAGTTCCTAATCTTTGTGACTTTCAGACAAGTTCATTGCAGTGTTTACTTCCATCATTTTTGGGTTTGTCTGCTGCCCAAACATTATTGTTTTTTGGCTTTCCAATTGCAAACCAAACATGTGATTCTTCTTGAGCCAAATCTGTGCCTGATGTCCAGTATCTATTCTCATCCCCCAAGCTCTTTCGATAGCGATCTATAGAACACCATTCCTCCACTGCCTCAAAGCTAATCAGTGTTGCATTCATTTGACGACATTGTTCGAAGGCATCGTAACAATTCCTTTTCGTAGCATTCTCAAAAAAGTAAAAAACTGGAGCAGTTGTGAAATCTATGTTAATCGGTAAACCTATTGCACACATATAACATTCATCCCTGACAAAAGGTGTTATAGCAGGAACATACCACCTACGACCCAGACAATATTAATATGCAATTGAAGTTCTTCAGAGGAGTTTTATGGCCATATAAGAGAGACATAGCTTAACTCCGCCCCTTGGATATCAAAAAATGATATCCGTGGTTTATCAATGAAATTATTTCACATTTTATATTTATATTTTATACTTGACTAGCCTTATAATGGGACATTTTATTTGCTAGGCTTAGATAGTTATTATGTTACTCTTGGCAAAGTATTCTCTTAGAAGAACATCAAGTTTTGCATTAAAGTGAATTTCTAGGTACAATGACAGCTCAATAGATGTTTACGACAGCAGAGAATATTAAGGATGATTGAGAATGAGAGGCAAATGCAGGAAAAGTTGCCCTTCGGAAAAAGCTGGGCCGTCAAAACAACTTTAACGGCACACCGAGGAGCAAAAATAAACAACAAAAAAAACAAACGAGCAAACAAACAAACAAACAGACAGACAGAGAGACAGCCAAACAGACAGACAGATAATCAAGATACATAAACATATACAAACATTAAAAGATAGGCCGATGGAGACAGACAATAAAGCTTCAGTGAACACGAGATGGCCCGAAGCGTACACATATTTCTGTAAGTATCAATACACAATAAACTTGGGCCAGATAAGAAAGAAATAAACGGAGGGGTGAGACAAGCGTCGGTACTAGCGTGTTAAAATAAATAATTTGATCACGAATTACACTAATGCTTAAAATTGAGATATATGGAGCGCTAAAACGACTCTGAGATCTCCCACATTGAAAAGCAGCACATAGCACATGACAGTGCATAGTAAAAACTAATTGGGAATTACAGCACAAAAATAATAATCTATATATATAAATTGATTGTGCTGAGGCAGATTGTCTGGTCATATATTCCCAAATGATATACTCATTTGCGACAGCTTACAATTTAAAGTAGCTATTGATAATTAATCGTTAAAACTGGTTGGGAATTATATCAGAAAAATATTTTATACATATACATTTGTGCGGATTACCTGACTGATTTATTGGTTAAGGCGAAAAACAAACAAGATTTAAATCTAGTTGCGAATTTCAAATGTTAAATAATAAATCAAAAAAGAAAATGCACTTTTAAGCTGCCAAAAAAAGACAGGAATAGTTTTCATCAGTATATATACAGTTTTCTTAGGAAAATAAATGTTCAAATATAATTAAATTCAACGTATCTGATTATAATATTTCAGTGTCTTAGACAAGATAGATTTCTTGATTACGCATCTCCGTTCACTTAAATTCATATAATATAATTAACATCTCTCACTTTAGCTGCATTTTTCGAGCAATCGTTGTGCCCGCAAATCGTACCGCAAATGACTTAAATAATTGTCTGTCTCTAATGGCTTTAATTGACCTTTTTTTTCGAAGGGGCCAACGGAAATGTCAAAAGCACAACTGCAAATGACCGGATCGGCAACAATAAAGCCAACAAAACAATTGAAAACCAACACAGAAAAGGCAGCTGTAAAATAAAATTGCAATGCTTGAAAAGTGTCCTCAGCAAAATCGAGACATTAAGACGTTAAGAAAACTGTTGGCAATTATTTTCTACAGCCAAACCAAATGTGTTGGTGTGTGTGCGTGTGAGTGTTTGTGGCCAACAGCAAGTGCATTTAAGATATCACAAATGCCGTATATACACATATACTATATCTGTATATATATATAAACCGGAAACTCAATTTGTTGGACAAATGTGATGGCAAAGCATCAGCATGAACATCAGGGGCAGATGCTAGATAGCTGGCCTTATAAATCACCAGTCACTAATTGTTTTTACGGACAAAATAAAATTTTATTTTATCATATTATTTCAGCATCGGCTAGCCTTGAAAACAAAAAAAATATAAATACAAAAGCCATTTTGTGCATAAGAATTTTTTACACATGTATTAAACAGCGAACTGTCCCAAAATTAATCAGAATACAAAAGTTCAGCACCAAAATTTGAGATTTAATCATGGCTGCAAGCCACAAAAAATTGTCGATGATTCGCCTCACGGCTCGAACTGACTTCCTGCCTCGAGCTTCGATTCTTGAACCTGATTTGAATCTAGAAAAGTAGGCTAAATTTGATCCCTACCTAATATTTGCGTCTACCAAATGTGGTTCGTACGCCAATGAAGCCTATCTATCAATTTAATATACTCCCCTGTTACATACCACAGCCGCTAACAAATTTCCTCGAAATATGTAGGGTAAAATGTGTTGTGGCCTTCGGCTGTGTTAATGATTATGTAGAGATGTAGAAGTATAAAGATTTTTTACTCGGCCACAAATTTATGCAAATTTAATTAGATCGATTAATTTCCATGAAGCATATTGTTGCTGGTATAGCTAATTAATGCTATGTACTCATGTTAACAGTTCGTGCAGAAAATTAATAAACGCAATATATATTTATTTGGATTTTTTTTTGCATAAATTATTTTCCCATCATCATCATTATTGTTTAGTCTATTTGGGTGTATCTGTGTGTGTATTGTTGTCTATGTTATCAAAAAGTTTGCACAGCTGTTTATTAAAACCAAATAAAAGGAAATATAATTTGGCGCTCTGTATGGATATCGGCCTTTAATCATATTAAAATTGAAAATTGATTTTTTGCGAATCTAATTAACTGTGTTAATAATATTAACTGTATAAAATAGCACTATTGTATAAATACAATGGGCAATGAAAACAATATCATTCATTAAGGATAAAGTAAGAATATCTTCGGCACGCCGAGGATTTAAGACCCTTTTAGACATTTGCCTTACGGGCTTGCAAATATCTAAGAATGAATGGTGAATGTGAGTTTGATGAAAATATCTTCAAAACAAGAATATTTTGCCATAAAATAACCTATACTTCATCCAATAGTTTATATGGCGGCTTTATTGTAGTGGTCCGACGTTAATAGGGGTATACAAAATGGTTTTACCAGTAGTTAGAGAGCCAAGCGCTACCACAAATGATATACTGTCTTTGTGACCGAGACAACCATACTTTGTATTTAGCTATACAGAGCTGAATTTAATTTACATTTTCTGAAATCCCACCAGATACGCTTTCCATTGAAATCTAACAATTCTTCAAGATTGCCGTTCCATGTGATTCTCAGTTATTCACTTAATGTAAATTTTTGCTAAATTGATTTTACTGTTACTCTGCCTATTAATTTGACCAACAATGTAGGAAATGGATGGGAGTGCGGAGGAAAAAATCGAGGATAGAGAGAGGGAAGTTGAAGGAGGAGCGCAGAGGAGACTCGCTCGCTATCGGAGGGAAGGGCGGCGCGGGAGTATGTAAACGTGAAATGGAACGGGAGGCTCGCTAGATGACTCACCGCCGTAACTCTCTCCGCTAGATTCTCTCCCCTCTCTCTCTCTCCCTCTCTTCCTCTCTCCCTCCTCTCTCTCTCCCTTCTCTCTCTTCCCTCTCTCTCTCTCCCTCTGTCTCTCTCCCTCTCTCTCTTTCATTGTTGTCATTGTCCATTCTATTATAGTGAAGATAACGTCTTTCAGTTGTAAGATTCTTAAGAAGTTAAAAATGCTAGTAACATTTTCTACTATATTTATTACATAATACATTGCATAGTATAAGTGTACTATTGGGAATATGTATGTGATGTTCTTGATACGCTGCCTATCAACTTTTGTCTGCAGCCGCGTTTGTTTTAAAGCAAAAGATTTAGTAGAAGTTATTGGCCACAAGCAAAGTTTGACACAAATGCATACAAAAACACACACACACACACACACGCGCACACGCAAGTAACCTCGGTAAGTAAGTATGTATGGATGTGCATGCAGCTGAACATCAAATCAAAATCAATGTCAATATTGAACTAAATCCAGGCTGGCAAGCGGCTAAGTCTGGCAACGCTGGCAATAAGCGAAATAAGCACGTAACGCGCCGCCTGCCATCTTTCGGGATAAAACACGGAACAGTGCAAAAGCAAAAAGCAAAGAGCAAGCCAAAAGCAAAGCGGATCAGGAGACACACAAGCTGCCAACTGTCGAAGCGCAAAGGAGGCAAACTGAAACAATACGCGCCAAGTAGCGGCAGTGACAGTGGCGGGGGGGCAACAGGGGCAGCGGTGGCATCGGCGTCATCATTTATCAAGCGCGCGCTCACACACAAAGGTCAAGTAAAGTGTTATCCTTGAAGCTATCAAGGCAAACATGGCCCAGCAAAACAGCTGGCAGCTGTTCCTTTGACGCCAGTCGCCGTCTTTTCATATTTCCAGGCTGGGCCCAGGCCTTGAGCATACACACACTCACATACATATGTACACATGTACTTACACATACATATGTACATATACCCACATGGACGCAGTTTGACGTTTTGTGAAAATCATTAACGAAATGAAAATATCAATGATGTGAAAATGTTATGGTCTGCCGCCACCATACCGTAAATCGGCCACCGCCTTTGAAACGCGATAATCATCGGCAGCGTCGATGTCAGCAACTTAAACATCATTAATAAAAGCCTCCACATCAAAGCCATTTGAGTTCCGACTCACGTTATTGCTTACTGCTCGTAGCTGTAGCTTAACAGTGGAGAGTTTAACCGCCATGTATGTATGTATTCACGTTCTCGGCTTGCCAACTTTCATTTCATTCTCAGCAAAGCCGAATCTCAGCATTTTAATTGCATTCCACTTGTTTCCCTAGTCAATTTTATCTTATATACCCCCTTCCAACTAAAACGGTACAAGACATACCCTTAGTTGGGTATAACAGACGGAGAACATTCGAGCTTACTCTCTGTAAATATGCTCAAAACATTTAACATACGCTTTAAAAATGTCTCCAAATCTGAAGTTGAAAATGGGTGAAAATATCAAAAAGTCTATTACAAACATGGTCTATCAGTAACGTACCTTTGCTAGGAATCATTATACCCGATGAGTACCGAATAGGCGAATGCTAATAACAGAAGAAACTGAAGTTAGGCGAGTGATAGAGCAGGACAGGCTGATCTACTTTAAGATGACAGTTACGTACGAGCGCAGCAAAAGTGCAGAGCAAAGAAGTAAAGCAGAAGTGACAACTTGATACACACATAAAACACATATACATGCATATGTACATACATATGCTAGAGAAACTTTCCAATAATAGCTTATCAATGGGCCTTAAGCATTTAATGCACAAAACAAAATACGCAAATTTCTAACTTATTTTTACGCACACAGATTTTTTATTTATTAGGATGTAAATTAATTATGTACGATAAATAGAATAGTAAAACAATGTACATATGTACGTAAAAAAGGCGTTGTTCTACTTAAAACTTCACCAACTCACTATAGATGCATTCATTCATACACAATATCATGTGACATTTGTAAATTTGTATACATGTATGTAGGTATGTCTGTATGTATGTTTAACTGCCATGTATGTATGTATGTATTCCCGTTCTCGGCTTGGGAATTGTGCATAATAAGACGGTAACCAAAAACAATACCAAACGGACGAACGGGAACAGCAAATAACGGAAGAATTTGAAATTAGGTTAGATGTGGAGCAAGAGGGGTCTATCTACATACATATATACATACATACATACACTTGTAGGTTATATACTTGTATATATTTACTTGTAGGTTACAGTTGCACTATACATGTACATACATGCATATACATACATACATATATTAAAAAGACTTACCAGCAATAACTCTTCAATGCGACTGCAGCATTTAACAAAACTATATACATACATATGTACATACATATATATAGACATGCATTTTTTATCTACAGTGTGTCACAAAACATTCCGAAATAGCACACATATGTATTTATTAATATGGGATTGTAAAAAATCGAAGATTAAACACCGGCTATTAAAATCACAATGAAAAAAAATGCAAAAACCGACTGATCTACTCTCAAATTACAGTTGCCAACGAGCATAGCAAAGATGGAGTGAAAAGAAATTAATGAATGTACAAAACTCAAAGACATATGTATGTATGTATGTACATACACATACACATGCTAGAGAGCACTTAGCACGAAAAAAAAATGCATACGCAATTTCAAGCTTATTGTTTCGCACAAAATTCGCGCACAGCAAACAGATTTATTATTTATTAAGATCGAATTTAATATGGTACGATTAAGGCCGGCTTTTTAAGTTGAAATGCAAGACAATGCGAATCACGTATAAAATGCGTCTGTTTGCTTCAACACTTCACCAAATACAAGCATACATACATATGTATGTATGTATGTATATGTGCTATAATGAGATCAGTGCGTAAGATGGTAGCCAAGTACAGTATAAAACGGACGAACGGGGACAGCAAATAACAGAAGAAACTGAAATTAGGCGAGAGGTAGAGCAACAGAGTGGTCTCTCTACTTTAACATAACAGTTGCGTTATGTACATATGTACGTGGCTACAGACATACAAACATATGTATGCACATGTACTAAAATGCCTTACCAACAATAAAATGTAAATACATATTTTATTATTATTATCTTAACAACAGCCCCGCACGGCACACATACATACTTATTTATCATTTTCTGGTTATTAAGATATCGTTAAAAAATGTACAATTCGACACCAGCTAATTAAGTCAAAATGGAAAGCAATTCGGAAAGTGCCTGATCTACTCTCATATTACAGTTGCGTACGAGCGTAGGAAACATACAGAGCAAAGGAATAAGACAGAATCAAAAACTTCACACATGCATATGTATGTAAATATGTACATGTGTTAGGGAGACAACCACAACTGTTCAATGCGACTCAACACAAAATTTAATGCGCAAATTAAATCTATTGTTTCACAAAAATATCCCGCACTGCACACAGATTTATTAAAATACATATATCATCAAAATTGTACACCGGCTATTTCAAAAGGTAAAGGGCGTCAGTTCTCTTTTTCACCAACTGCACTAGACATGCATTCAACCGTAAAAGCAAATCGTATGATTTTTGTACATTTGTGTTTTTCTCTATGTATGTATGTATGTTTGTATGGAGATATTTAAGAATGTATGTATGTGTGCATTATACATGTTGCTATGCATGTATGTACATATGATCTGTGCGAAAAGCAGGCTCAATTCTATTCCCGCTGCACTGCAAAGTAACGAAAACCGAAGTTTCAATTGGAAACTAAGATGCTGATCCATTCTCAGTCTCGGATGAACTAATGCATGTTATTACTACATACATACATAAGTACATACATATGCTAAAGAGACTTACCAACAAGAGCTAATCAGTGCGACAGCGCAGCGTTATTAAATACGCAAATTTTATCTATGTATGTTAATTGTTTCACGAAACATTACCGCACGGCACACGAATTTCTTTTAATTAAAATACAATTTATTAATTTACGATTAAACACCGGCGCACCAAAGACAATACAAGAGTTAAGCAGAAGCAACAGCTGCATACATACACATGTACGTACATGTATATATATGTATGTACATACATATGCATGCATATGCTAGAGAGACTCTCCAACAACAACTCATCAATGAGACTGAAGCACTTGTCAAACAAAACTAAATAAGCAGAATTCAAGCTTATTGTTTTCCGCGAACAGACGTATTAATATAAATATATATAATTTAATAATTAAACAACGAATCGAAATGTAACACAATGCGAAGCGCGTAAAAAAGTGTGTTTTCTTCAAAGCTTCACCAACTACACTACACACAAGCAACTTTACACAAAATCGTATGATTTTTGTATGTTTGAATTTATGTATGTATGTATGTATTATATTTGCATGTAACTATGCATGTGCATGTGATCTATATCGAATACATGTCGAACTTATTTCCCGTTACACTGCAAATATAAGATAAACCTTTTCAATGTTGCTCACTGCCTGATTTTCGCAAGTTCAATGTATCTATGCATGCATGTAGGTTTGTAGGTATGTATGTATGTAAGCATGCATGCATGTATGTAGGTATGCATGTATGTAGGCATGCATGTATGTATGTAGGTATGCATGTATGCATGTAGGCATGTATGCATGTATGTATGTAGGCATGTATGCATGTATGTATGTAGGCATGTATGTATGTAGGTATGCATGCATGCATGTAGGTATGTATGTATGTATGTAGGTATGTATGTATGTATGTATGTGCATGCACGTATGTATGATCGCATGTATGAACAAATGTGCTAAGATATGTTTGCATGTACAAATGCAAGTATATATGTGTATGTTCTCTTAAACCAACTACTGCAAGGGAAAATTTAAATGTTAAAACTTATTGGAAATCAAAAAAAAATTTAATTGGTCAGCGACTTTAAACTCGAGATACTACATAACAATTGTTATTAGTTATTAGTTATTATTAGTCAAAATCGTTTATCATCTGATTAAAAGAATATTACGTTTTTTATTACATTAATTTTTTTTTTTTTACAAATATTTAATTAAATTTTTAAATATTTTTCGTGTTTTTGCTTTTATTTTGTTGCCGCTGTGTTTGCATTAAATATTTTTGTGTATAGTTAAATGTATGAATTAATATAAAATTTTGTTCTTGGCTCAACGCTTCATATGTTGTTGTTGTTGTTGTAATTGTACTTCTGAAATTCTTGCAGAATAAATACCAAATAAATATATATGTATGCATATATATTAAATTGAAATATGTTCCATAATAATTTGTTAATACGTAATACAATATTTATTATATGCAATGTTGTTGTTTATACATAAAAAATAGGTCTTGTAGCACAAATCGTTTATTTCATATGTTATTTATCGTTTTGTTGTTGTTGTTGTTGTTTCTTTTCAGACGCACAGCAACGAGCGAGATGCCAACAGGAAGCTGGTTTAAAATGAGAAATCATTTGGAGCTGGCGCTTGCAATGGGGCCCAGGTATATGGCAAAATGTAGTTGAATTTCAAACAATTTGTTTATATATATATATATATATATATATATATATACATATGTATATATGTATCTGTTAGCGAGGTTTTAAGCACATTTTCTTTTTATTCCGGCCAAACATACAAAAGTACATACATTGTCCCTACTCGCTGCGTTAAACTGTTACAATTTGTCCAAGTTGTACATTTGATACTTGTGGTACACAAAATGATTTATAACATAAAAATATATAAAAAAAAAAAAAAATTCAATCAAAACCAATTCGGCTGAGTGGGTAGTGATCAAGTGAATGTATGTATCGTCTTTTCATTATAATGCATATATCTTTATGTATATAGGTATCTCTCAAAAATTTGCTGGATATTGGGCCTTATTGTAGCGATGGCTCTTGAGTACATCATTTCGCTTGACTTTCGAACATAAAAAGAGTTTCAGTTAAGTTCATTTCGTTTAAAATTGCTTAGTAAAATAATTCATAATAGTAGTAGTAGTAGTTGTTGTTGTTGTTGTTGTTGTTGTTTTCTATTTAGTTTTGTATACTCTCATTATACGATATTAATTAAACGCATGTGGCTTTGAGCGAGAAAAAAAAATGATAATCAGACTATATTAAAATCAAAAGTCGTTACATAATTACAAAGAAAAACACACAAGTGCGCAGCATTGGGGATTTTGTTTTTCATTTAAATACTTATTTAAATTTGCTTATGTTGTTCTGTTGTTCATTTAAAGTGTTTTTTGCTGTTCTTGTTGTTTTTCGTTTTTCTGCTGCTCCTTTTCTCTTGTTTAAGGACGCATGTCTATAACAAATACTACATAAAGCCAGTGTGTGTGTGTGTGTGTAATTAATTAATATAATTAAAAATGAACATACAAGCTATCAACTACAGTTAATTGTAAGTGTGTGTGTGTGTGTGTGTGTATATATAAGCAGTTGCCAAGCCCTGCGGGCAGGGGCTTTTTGAATCTCTCAGCGCACAAAAGCATTGCACAGTCGGCGCATTCTTAAATACATTTTAAAAATTACATAATTTAAATAATTTAAATATACACATGTGTGGGCCCAAACTACGCTTATATCAAACGCAAAAAAAAAATTAATCATTTATATATTTATGCATATAAATTTATAGAATAAGCACATGCATGCCGTAACGGAGTAGAAGCATGGCGCGAAGGCGCTTTACACTCTCCAAATGTGTTCACTTATTATTTTTTTTTTTTCAAAGCTAAGCCGTTTTATAAATGTTTTTGTTTTTTTGTTTTTTGTATTTTTGTTGCTTTTCCATATATATATATATAATAATTGTGTTTATGTAATCCGTAATCTACAGAATGCCCAGGCCCTCGTCAGATATCAACACACAACGAACGATACACATTGAATGCCAAACGCAATTATTAAACTAATCATCAGCCGCGTTAATTTTAATATTTCATGGGCTGTGGAATAAGATTGTAAATTGCTTCTTTGTTGCTTATATTTTGTTAACATTAAGCTCGCGACATGGCCCAAATATTGGCAATGCTCTCCTGCTCATTATATGTGCAGCAGCATTGGCAAATGTTTGGCCTTTGAATTGTTAACCATGTCGGTAGAGCTAAGATCTGCAGTGCATGTAAAGTCCATTTGTTTTGTTAACGAGTCTGTGCATGAGGTTTTTCTTTCTTTCGATTTATATTAGTGTATGTGTGTGTGTGTGTGTGTGCTGCTGCTGCTGCGCTGTTGTTGCTGTTTGCTATTGTTGATGCTGTTGTTGTTGTTGTTGTTGTTGTTGTTCTATGTACGCATTCAACACTCACTTTGGGACAGATCAATGTCCTTTTTAACGCTACGCGCCAACCGATCCAGCTCGGCAGCCGCATCTGAGCGCACGGCTAGCTTCTCGGCCGTCATAAGCGAATCGGTGCCATTAGATGTGCGTGGTGTGCCCATGCCGCCACCTGGACTGGCTGCGCCCGCCGGTCCACCAGCTGGTCCGCCCGACTTTTTGTGTAGCAGCGAGTTAAAGAAATTTGCCAGCACACCCTCGCCGCCAGGCGTTGCAGGCGTCAGCTTGGGATCAATCTATAATTGCAAGAAAGCTAATTCAGAAAGCTAATTCAGCTATTTTGTTGGCACAAACCTTTTTGGGTGAGCTCTGACCGGCGCTGCCGGGTGTGCGTGGTCCGGTTTTATTGCCGCCAGAGCTGGCGCCCTGCGATCGCAACGGCGATTCACCGCGCACCTGGCCGCCCTGCTTGAGTATCTCCTGCTGGCGTGCCAGGAAGGCCTGCTCGTCCTCGGTCTGCACCTCCGTTTCACGATTGGAAACGGCCTGCAGCAAATAGAGAAGTTGAAAAGAGTGTTAATGGAAGCTACCAATTGTGGTGAGTCTTCTAAACGCACCTTTCGTGTGGGCGGCGCCTTGATAATATCTGTGTAATGATTCTCGGCCTTGACCGCATGCATGTTCTCATACAGAATACTTATTTTCTTGAGGCTATCCCAGCCAGCCGGACTGTAATAAACAAAAGATGAAAAGCCATTCAATGTGAATGAAAGGGAAAAGGGAACTGAACGCACATGAGGACCGCATCCTTTTCCACGACTAGCGCTGGCGTACGGAATGGTAGACCATAAATTCGATGCGTTAGATATTTATAAAGGAGATCACAGTTTTTGTCCTCTTTCACGCTTGTGTAAAAGAGTGAGGTGCCGTGCCGCAGACAAAAGTTTCGTATCCATTGCTGTATGAAATCGAAATGCTCGTCGCGGTACTCGTACTCCTTCTCCAGCGTTGACATGTAGTCCGTCTACGTGGGGTGAATATAAAAACGATAATTTAAAAAAACTCAACTTGAGTGTGTGTGAGTAGACGCACCTTTGTGACCACAACAACAATGTCCAGGCCCAGGTTTGTAATTAGTGCGTCCTCTGTCAGCGGCAACAGATCATCCTCATCAATTGAATTGTTGTGCATGGTGCGTTTAACCGGCGAACCGGGATCCAAATCATCGCCAACCTCACAGTAGCTCTGCCACGTCGTTGCGAGGCGCTGGCGTGCCGCCTCCTTCTCTTTGGGATCTAATTGCAGGCTCTCAATGTGCTGGGCAAGCACCTTGATCCATTGATTGAGCTGCTCGAGCCAGCCCCATGGCTGTGTCATCGAGACTGTTAGTATGACGAGGGTGTGTGCATAGTTCGTTTCGTTTAGCGCATAGTGCAGCAGATTTGTGTGTCCTGGATCGCCATCCAAGACCCAAACGCTCAGGCGCGTCATGTCTGCAATATGATGTTTCTCAATTCAAATAAAACCTTTAAACAAATTGGTTAATTACTAACCGTCTCTGTACTCATCCTTGACATCAATATAGGCATACTCCAGGCCGGAGCCCTTCTTCGGATCCTCAACGCCCTGCAGCTTGGCAATGAGCGTCGTCTTACCCGTGGCATTGTCGCCTAATACTAGTACAGATTTATTTGACGGTAGTTTTGTGCTGCCCTGTGTTTGTACTTCATTCAATATCGCAGACCTGGAAACAAGATGCAACGAATTGGGTCAGTGTGCCGTTGGCTGTATCAAAATTTTGCAATCTACATTAAACGCTTCGCCCCAAATTTTGTGTCCCCCGTTCTGGCCAAGATCCGCACCCCTGCCACCGCCTGGCCGTACGTACATATAAAACACAATTCTGAACACTGTGTCATGCCACGCAATCAAACTAATTGCATTCCTGTGCTATTTATGGGGCTAAACTTTGTTTCGTTCGTACCATTTATATGTATGTATGTATACACGATTTATTTATGTGCATATATATATATATATATGTGTGTATGTACATAGAGTTTAGAAAGCATTCATGCAATTTCAGCTGGACGTTTCTGCAATTCAATTAAATATTTCAATCGAAAAGTGGCCAACTAACTTACTAACTTACTGACTCACTAACTCGCTCACCCACCTATTTGCTGACCAACTGACCAATTGACCAACTGAATACCTGACTGACTGACGGCATGACTAACTGTATGACATGCAAATGACGTTTACTCAATTGGGTAAAGCTGGACGCCGGCGCTGCTTCGTGCCAAAAACTGCGTACTGCGAATATCGATTGCCCGATTTCTGACGATTTAAGCTCATAACTATTCTCTTCTATTGAATTTTCAAAGGTGTTGCACGATGCACAGTGGTTCGAAAGCGATATTTAAAAACTGAACAAGTTTAAAAACGTATTAAGGCAATAATTTTTTATTCAAGGTAAATAAAGGCTTCGGTTAATAATAAAAAAAAAACCGCCATATAAAAAGGCATAAAGAATACAATTATCTTTGTAGAGTTTTAAAAACAAATATATATAATATAATCTTGGAAAACTACTTGGCGAATTTTTCCCTCAAACAACAAATTCACAATCTTCTAATGTGTCTTATCTAAAATTACAAATTAATTTAAAAAAATCTAATCTAATCTAAATACATAGAATAATTAACAAAAACCATCCAATTTTTAGCATACAATTAAAATACGCACAAGAAGAATATATAAAAACATGTTCTAAAATCACTTTGCATATATAATATATATATATATCAATATAAAATAAACTTTATGCTTTAATAGTTGCATAGTTGTTCAGCAAGTTGTGTCCCACTGTGCTTGGGCTGGCATTTGGCTAAGGGGGGTTGGCCTGCTCGGTTCACACTTGACATGCAAACAACCCGGCAACCGTGCCCACCCTTTGGCTATGCCCCCCCCCGCTCGTATTCCAGGTTGGTTGGCATGGTGCACGAAAGGCCCAAACGAAAAATATTTTCCAAGCTTTTAAAGTTCGCCTCGCTGAAAGGCAGGCGAACAGGCCAGGCAGAAGGCAAAACAGTTCGGCATTACCAATGCGCACTTTGGCAGCGCCACGCGTTAAAAGTGGATCACAAATTTCTAGCGCCGGACCAGAGTCCGAGTCTGAAGTGCACAGCCAGCAGAAATCGAGCAGTTTGTTAGGTTTATTAAACGCCAATTGACAGGATGAGTTTGTTGCTGAAGCGACGTTCGCGCAGCGAGACGCGCGCTCAGCCCGTCACGATCCAAAGCAAACAGGAGTTGACCAAAAAGCAGCAGCAGCAGCAGCAGCAGCACCAGCTGGCAGCCAGCGTGGAAAGGGACAGAGAAACGACTGTGCCGCGTCTGGGTTTGGCTGGCCCAGGCGCTGGCATGGGCAGACGCAAGACATCTGCGGAGCTCATCAGCGAGGCGAAACTCTATCTGGGCGACCTGTCCACGTCAACGGCGACAATGACAGCTGCTGGCGGCGCACGCTTGGTCAGCACACGTCGACCCATAACGCCACGTGAACCGGGACGTGTGCTCTACGGCAAGGTGGCATTGGCCGGCCGTCCGCCCAGCGCCTTCTCGTAAGTAAACACAGCTTCTTTAAGTGCCTTCCAAGTGCTCCAAACGCGCAAACTACTCCACAGCATGCGATATCTGCAGAATGAGAATCATAAGCCGCTGACGCCGCCAACGCCAGCGGCTGGCACCGAGCTGCTGTTGAGTCGACGCAATGTGGACGCCAAGCCGGCGCCACCGCGTCAATTGCCAGCGCTGCCGGGCGCTGCGGCACAGCTGCCAATTGCAGCAGCAGCCACAATGCAGCCAATGCAACCCGCACGCAATGGCGCCCTGCTTGGCCAGTGCAGCTCGGAGATGCTCATCGAGATGCTGAAGCAGCATGCTGGTCTCAAGGATTGCAGCGGCGAGACCGTGCAGCACATCAATGCGGTGGGTGCTGGTGCTTGTGAAGTGTCCATTATTCAAAAGTATGTAAAATTCCTAATTCTTGCGCACGCAGATTCTGCTGGAGCTGTATACCCGGGTGCACAAACAGGAGCGCAACTTCAAGCGCGCCTTTATCCTGGGCGGACTCTATGGCCTGGTCGAGTGCACGGCGCCACGTATCCTGCTGGCTGTGGCACGTGTCGTTCTGGCGGTGAGTGTATTCGATTTGTTGTCTTTTAACTATTCTAATCGATACATGCACATCTGCGATAACGATAGCATATCGATCACTTCGCCAATTTCCTTATATTTTTATGCATTCTTCGAGAATAGGTCAGATTTAGTATATATCGATAAATATATCCCAAAAGGAAATAATTGCATATTAATTGAATAGATAATTCAAATCGTTATATTTGGAATAAAGTTGATTTTGTTCAGCTCAAAATTTCATTTTGATCGCTTCATTTTTTGTCAATCGATACACATTTTAATCGATTAATCGATATCTCGCTAACTTCGGCCTTCTGTTGTTCACAGTTGCGCGTAACCGGCAGCAATTTAACCGGCGCCTGCAAGCTAATCTTCAAGGTGGCTCGCCACGAACAGCACGACAGACTGTTCCATGAGAACGATGTGCTGGAGCTGCTGATCGATGGCTTGGGCCATGCCTCGCCGCTGGACGATCCGGAGGCCTGCATTTATGCCTATGGCTGCATACGATTTCTCACCGCGAGCAGCGCCCAGGAGCGCGACGATGCGCTCAATCGCAACTGGGCCGCCGGCTTCGAAGAGCTGCTGCCACCAACAATCGCCGCAGCCACAGTCCTGACAACAACAGCCCAGCAAGATTCACGCAAGCTAAATGGCCAACAGACACTGGTGTCGCGCCTGGCACGTCACGGCGCTGTGGAGCTGATGATACTCCATTTACAGATGTTGAACGAGGCGGGCGCCACGCGACGCCTCAGCGGCCCGCCGCTGCACACCCTCTACCAACTGTCGGCAGCGCTGCGCGCTCTAGCGGATGTGGCGCAGCATCAACAGCGACTGCAACTGCAATTGCAGCTGGCGTGCCCGCATCTGATACGCGCCGCCGAGGTCTCCATGGGCGAACTGGAGGTGCAGGCCAATGTGGTGCGCACACTGAGGTGAGCTACTAGTCGTCGTCGTCGTCGTCGTCGTCGTCGTCGTCGGTATTTCTTTCCACTTTACTCAAATACTTTCACTCTTCTACTGGTTCAGCGTGCTGTCAGAAGATCTGGAATGCTGCGAGACGCTGCATAACTATGCAGCCCGCATTGGTCTGCTGCTCGGACCCTACTCCAAGGGCGGCCAGTGCAGTGAGCGGCTCTTGGCCGTGCTCAGCCGGCTGGGCTATATGCTGGGCAATATCTTGGCCAAGCATGAATCCGCGCGCGTTCAGGTAGGTGCACTTTATATAGCATTATATTCTCAATTGTTTTTGATTAAAGTTTTCAAATTTGTCATATTTATCATTCAAACATTTTTTTGCACATTAAATATTATTATTAATATATCATATTAATTATTTTACAATATTTAATATAATTATTAATAATAAAATAATTATTTATATAATTTTTCTTTTTTTTGTTTTTAATTATTTTCATGCTTAATTGGTTTATTGTTTTTTATTTTTAAAAATTTTTAGATTTTATTAATTTATTATTTAGTTTTGAATTACTCTCATTGGAGTTTCGATGCATCATTCCAATTCGAATCATGTCTATGACCCAATTTCCAATTGGGTTTCTTTATGTGTTTAAGTTATTCCCTCTCAGTTTTCTATATGCCTAATCTGTGCGTCTCCGCCCCCCTCTTCCAGTACTATCAAAACGATGTGGCCATGGAGTATCTGCTGAATGTGCTGCAGCAGCTAAGCGAACGACCGCTGGGCAGCGAGGCGCTCCTGGATGCCCAAATCAAGCTGATACGTGTCGTGGCGAACATGAGCGTCAATGCGGATGTCGGCGCTGGGCTGGGCAATGTGCATGGTCTGGGCGCTGTGCTGTTTCGCCTGCTGCAGAATGCAGCTGTGGCGCTGGATAGATCATCAACAATAACGGAAACCGCACAACCGCAGGCTGAGCTGCTCGAGCTGCTGCATGCAACGCTCGGTGCACTGCACAATTTATGCTTCTACCAGGATAACCAAACGGCAACGCCGACAACAACGACAACAACAACAACAACGGAAACAACAACAACGGAAACGACAACAACCACGATACCGTCACCCGGTTCGCTGCAGAGCCTGATTGCCGAGCTGTCGACGGCCCTGGCTGGCACCTTGAAACGGTGTCAGGGTCAGTATGTGTCCACCAAGGTGGAGCTGGCCCGCGTGCTGGGCAATTTGACGCGCAACGAGCTGGCGCGACGCCGTTTCTGCGCCGCCGGCGGTTTGCCCTTGATGGTGCAGCAGCTGACGCGGCAGGCGAACGGACAGGATTACGAGCTGCGCACCTGTGCCATCGGAGTGCTGGTCAATCTGTTGGGCGATGGCGAGCAGCGGGCACCGTTTTTGCAGCTGCGCGGCGCTGAGCTGCTGGCGCTGCTGTTGCGCGGCGCACTGGAGCAGGAGGATTGGTTTCTGGCCAACATTGTGTGCCAGGCGATGTGGAATCTTCTGATCGATGCCCAATGCGCAACGGCCTTGTGCCAAAGTGGCAGCATACTCGATGAGGTCAGTGATCTGCTAGCAGATTACTTGGATGAAGAGCGTCCGATTGTCGGCGACGAGGCCAACGAGGATGAGATCGAACCAGGCAAAATAAAAGAGTCGGAGCTCGATTTGGAATCGGAGCCGGATGCGGCGCCGGATGCATTGTGGGAGGACTTTGCGCTGGTGGCTACCGATTTGTTGGAGCGGATACAAAACAATTTCGATAAGCAGCAACAGCGACAGGCGACGCACATCGATAACGATGACGGGAACGATAATGAAGATGTGTTTATCGAAAAATTGTAATACATTCTTTAAGACTAAAAGAATATACAAATATAAACAATTATCGATAATAATCGATAACAATAATCGATAAATTGCCAGCAAGTCGATGCAACGAAGTGGACACAACACACGATTATCGATCCTAATCGATATTTGACTGTCTAAACAGTTATGGCATTTCGAATTTAATCGATTTTGAAACATCGATTATTGTTACCCAAGCCAAACAGGTCTTTGAAATATTTGCAATTTTAGATCAAGGTCGTAATACGAGCGTCATACATAAACCAACGAATTTCATGTCGTTTATCAAGTTTCAATAAATTAAGCCAGCCCAATGCTATTTCCATATCAAATGCAATTGAGAAACCTTATACAGTTTTCGATAACTCTACCAGAAGCTAACAAGCCATTTGCCATCTGTAAATTGAGCCCGGGCATTTCTATAAATTACGGTTAATATGTTTTGGTCATTTCCTGTTAATGTAAATAGATTTTCAAACATGTTTTCTATAGCATTCGAAATCGAGCTGCGTCGCCAAGACGTTCTGCACATGCGCGCCCCCTGACGGTCAACTAGAAACGTGCACATGTACATATTTAGGCGATGACAACATCGCCAACACTCACACATACGCAAACCACACACACGCACAAGCTTGACTTAGAGCAACTCTTCGTTCATTGGACAATGCAAATTCCAATTGGATTATCAACAGTCCAAATGAAGCCGAACTATCGATAGCTCAGCTTACGGCTTTGCAAGTGTGTAAACATGTGTGCCCATACACATCTGCCTGCGTGTGTCTGTGTGTGTGTGTGTGTGTTTTGCCTATTAGACATACAAAAATTGATAAAGCAAAAGGTGCGCACTGTCGACTGCGCAGCCGGCGACGCTGCCCTCGATTTTGCTGCTTCATGAATCATTCGCAAGACTACGCTTTTTCTATCTCTCTCTCTCCCTCTCTCTCTCTCTCACTCTCTCTGTCTCTGTCTTTCGCTCGCACTATTTCACACTGAATATTAGAATTGTTGTTTTAACATTTAGTCTGTGTTTATGCCACAAATCCATTAAATTGGCACAAGAGAAAATTGCCAAAATACAAATATATATAAAATGCGCATGTGCGTACAGGTGTGTGTGTGTGTGTGTGTGTGTGAACCAAACGTGGTTTGAGGTTAGGCGAGTGTTGTACAAAATGACAACATGCACTAAATTTAAAAGCGGCATAAAATCAGCTGCTTTTTAGTCCCCCCACCAAACGTTGTGGGTGTGGCGTAAGCAGCCGTTGCAGCCGGCACACACACACACACACACACACGCACACATGCACAGTAAAAGTGAGATAGCGGTAACCGAAAATTATTGCAAACGTCAGCTAAAGAAAGTCAAAAAGCAGTTGGCCAAAAGCAGCTGATTTGCCTAAAAGCAAGAAAAAAACAAAGAAGAAAAATAGGCGCGCCATATGATTAAACGCTGAGTGCACACACACAGACACACACACACACACACAGGCATGCACATTTCTTGTGCCTAGGCTAAAGCTCAACTCACCAGAGATTCTCCTTGTCGGCTGCGGCGGCATCCTTCTTTTTCGTCGTAAAGGATGATGTCAGCGCATTGCTGCCCGTCATCGTTTGCGTGACGCTGTCCAGTGCCATTGCAGTGTTGGTTAATAACTGCTCCAGGCGACCTCTTCACCTCTCTGTTGTTGGCCTGTACCTTGGGTCAGTGGGCAGAGCTGCTGCGGGATGCACGGGAAAACGTTAGAGCAACACCAGCAAGTGCACGCACACGCACACACACAGACACACACAGACAACAATAACAAAAACAAAAACAGCAACTCAGCTGCATTGAACTTGGTAGAGAGCGGGCAGCAGCACTGGCAGCGGCTGCAGTTGCAAGGTGTCTGTTTTAGGAACGCTTACGCCTACGCCAGCAGCGACGCTTCCGCTACTCCGTTATGTTTGCTTTTATGGTTACGTTGCAGCAGAGCAGCAGCTGCGACAGCGACAGCGACGCCGACGTCGCGATTTGACGGAATGACAAACGCGCAGATTATGTATATTTAAATATTTGATTATTGCAGCGTGCTGTATGTACGCGTTTGTTACGCAGCCCAGCTGCTGTTGTTGCTGCTGCTGCTGCTGCTGCTGCTGCGACTGCTACCGCTGCCGTCTGGCTGGCTGACCGTCTGTCTCTCTATGAACAATTTGCAAAATTTCTTTGCGTTTGCTTTGTTGTTTTTTTTTTTTTTTTCTCTTTTTTTTCTACGTACTGCAGCTTTTACTCGATTTAGATTTGAGCACTCCGCTAGCAATTGTGATCCGTGGCACTAAATTTGATTTTTAGCGTATGAATTACTGCATCTGACGTTCGTTACTTTGTTTTGAGTTATTATTGAATAAAAAATAACAACAAAAAATATACGCCCGATATTGAGATGATGAATTTTTCGCTGAAATAATACAACGAAACTAGAAACAGTGTGTACACACAGCGCCACAATGGGAAAATTGTTTTTAGTGCTGCCAAGCGAAAAGCAAGCATAATGTCTGGCAACGCTAAACGCACTGTTGCATGTTATTTCTAATATAAAATGTTAGGTGGCAACGCTTGCTCTCCGTTACAACAATAAAAACACAACAAAAGCAATTTAAGCTCTCACTACACTAAACACTTTAGATCTATACGATCTGAATACTCAATTAGCTTAAAATCTAGCAAAATGCAAGCCTCTGTATACATTATCACTGTGATATTCGTAATAATAGCTAACAATGCGCCTCAAATAAATGGTACGTTTGCTCTGCCCAAGTTTGCTGCTTATTAAAGTCTTTTGTTCAACATACGCACGCACTTGCACATATACATACATACACATGCATATACACGTAACGTAACTGTAACTGCAACTGCGCATGTGTGTGTGTGTGCTGGTGCGTAATGCAAAATGACAACAAAATGACAACCTAAATTTCTCTTTATTGCCCGCAGCTCTACTGCGTCGCTGCTATCAATGCCGTTCCCGTGGAGAGCTGGGCAGCTGTAAGGATCCATTCAGCTTTAACGCTACCGACGTGGACAGGGAGCCAGGCCTATCCGCCATACCATGTGCCAGCGGCTGGTGTGGCAAAGTGATCGAGGGCGGCGGTACCTATGCGCTCGATGGTAGGCACGACTCCTGCATACCCTATAAAAATGATTTTAATGTTTTGCCTCGTTTTGCATATGCAGACTACGATCTGGCCATACAGCGCATGTGTGTGCAGCGCGGACCCGACGACAATATGGATCGGTGCGCGGACACAATCTACAATTATAAGAAGGTCTTTATGTGCTTCTGCCAGGGTGATCTGTGCAACGGCAGCAACAGCCGTTGGCGGCAGCCGCTTCCAATGCTGCCTTTGGCCATATTGGCATGCACAATTCTCAATAGAATGTAGATGTATTTGTAATGTTTAGCATTGATTTAACGAACATGGCAATTAAATTGAGCAACCGTTCCCAAACGAGTTCAGCCCGGAAATCGTGAGCTATACAAAATGATCGTTTGGATTTCTTGTATTCTGGCGTGTGCACGACGGGCACAGGCGATGCGGCTGCCGTCGGCCCTGGTCAGCATGGCATTCCTGATGGAACTGTTGTCGGCAACGCACACAAGGATATTCGACGCCCTCGCACAAGTAACACTCGTTGCATCTCAGGGCCGAAAAGGAAAGTCTGGACAGCTCACACCGTTGCGGCAAATCCATTAGCCAGAGTATCATCTTGTGCAGCGGCTCTTCGCGCGGCTGCTGCATTAACACCCGCCGCTCCCTGTCCAGCGCGCTCGAGATCTTATCTTGGACTTGTACTAAACGCTGCAGAAACAAGCTACCTGTTTTGGAATATGGGCCCGGCTAATTAATTTACTTACACTCTGCAGCATGCCATAGGGATTACAGCGTTCCTCGCGCAGTGTCTGTCTGGTTTGTCGCGAGCTGTGCGTCCGGCTGCTGCTGCTGCTCTGCGACTCCGATGCGTTCGATACTTTGCTCATGCCCAGATTGGCCATGAACAGCTCCTTGGCGAATGGCGCCGGCAGGGCGTGCGATATCTCTTTCGTATATTCAAAGTTGTGCACCGTTTGCTTATGAAATTCGAGCTCCTCCTCCATTGTTAGGTTTTCATTCAGACTCATGTTGAACTACACACGACTGAGGTAGTTCCTTTGCCAATGAAAAGGGCTGCTTCGACTTAAAAATGGTTGGCCGAACAAAATCCGCCGTACACTCTGCCACTATTCACGGACTCGAGCATTTTAAGATATATCTTAGCGCCTGAAATTGATTGCACAATTGATCGTCAACTCAACGGACCATTGAAAATTTAGCGGTTCAACGCCAGGGTTGCCACCTATCAAATGGTACTCTTGCGTTACCAGGGCTGGTCACATTCACATTAATTTTACGTTATTGATTCCATTGCTGCAAAATCTGTGGTGGCTGTCCAGGGCTTACAATTGTTAAGCCCATTGCGCGATTTCGATTATAGGCGAAAAATATACACAAATTCTGTTTAATTATATAGCCTACTCATTTCCCTGTCAATAGTTAAAATAGTCCCCAACAGAAGTTGCATAAATTTGTGTGTATTTTTCAATCGAGCAAATGTCAGTTATTTCATTGCTAATTAATAAAAATTAAATACTTCAGCATACTTTGGCAGCGGCAAAAAGGTGCAGGATCGCCATTTATGTTCGATGCATGCAATGTGTTATCTTTTACCTATCTGCTGCACCTTCTAACTGGTATCGATACTTGGCCAATCTCTAATACCCTGTAACCTTTGAAAATGGGTTGAAAAAAAGGTGTATTGGTTAAGTGCAAGGTTATGTAACAGGCCAAATAAGGCGTCTCTATTAAGAACACATATATGTTCTTGATAACAAAAAGAAAAACAAAATAGAAGCTAGAGATTTGGGCTTTGGTATATAGCCACATCCGAGTTCCATATTAAAGTTCTGTAAAGCCCACAAATACCGGAACAACCATAAAGTGTGTGTTGGAATAGCTGCAGGGCATCTCCTAGTCGAGCACTCGATTGGGACACTGCTCCTACGTGATCTAGGGAAATCTGAATTATATACACATTTTGCAATTAAAACAATTTTAGCTTTGATTTTATTTTGCGTGCGAGACTTGCAAAACCAGGCATTCAAAATTGTAATTTTATTTTTGTTTTTTTTGTTTTTTGTTTATTAAATATTAAGACAACATAGTATATTTGTATGTGTATGTACATAAATCCTATTTTCACTTTCATTTTTTTCGAACAATATACATATGCGTGTGTATATAAAAACAAATGTTTGTACATTTAGTTACTGAATTCTTTCAAAATCAATATATGTATATTAAATGATCAAGTGCAGGTGTGAATTTTAAATTTGGAACACAAAAAAAAAAAAATAAAAATCAATTAGGAGCTTAATAATTGTGGCTGAAAAAGAAACAAAATAAAAGAAAAATTATGTACAAACATATGTAGGATACAACGATCAGGATACACTGTACAACATAAGGCCAGAGCGCCCACACAGGAGCAGAAAACAACTCTTGGCATTTTGAATATTAAACAAATCTTATTACTAGGACGAGCCACCCTTAGTCCGGCCGGTCGACAGCATCCAATCCCTTAAGCACGGTGGACAACGGCTGCTCAACTGTGCGAGCGACGCCGATGTCAACGCTGACTGTGTCTTTCCTTTGGCTTCCTCGTGACAATCCAGATGATAATGCCCATGACAGCTCTGGCAGGTCAGGAAATTGTCTGTAAAAACAGAAAAGACGAAGTCAATAGACGTACCTATACTACGCTATGTTAATAGAACTCGGCTTGCGTGGGCCTCGTATTTTACTTTCAATTCTCAATCCACTTCCAGCATTGGCAGTGAAGCAATTCTCACTAAATTTTATGTGAATCAATTTAGAGGATAGGACATAGTATATAAAATATTCGCCCACACAACCGTGTAAACCCATTTTCAGCCGCGTGGTATATTTCCCAAGAACGAAAAGTAAAATATGTCCATTCAAATAGTTCTCACCTATTTTACACATTTGTGGGTGGAATTAACAATTCTTTGGTTTACTTCATAATGAACGCCTGCGAGTTGTTGCCCATATAAAAAATGTAAATAGATAAATACATTGATTTTAGAGACACTTAGACACAGTAGTTACCTTGCATGATGAACGGGACGGGAAATGGGTTAAATATCGACCAGCTAGTTTATACAGGGTACATCTCAACGTAACTAATGTTAAATACTCAAAATGTATTTGAAAAAAAAAAAAAAAAAGGAAAACAAAACTATTCCTGAAGCAGACAAACAGCTGTTTTGAATGAAACCAAAGTGGACTTGCAATTATGTCCATTAAAGCAAGATTTTACTGTACTTGATGCATGTGCATGGTATATAGGGGGAAGCTGGACCGTGAGACTCTTGATCTTTTCGTTTTGGAGATGACAACTTACCAGCACGCTTTTTGCACTCCTTGCACTTGTGTTTGCCGACATCTGCGTGACCATTGGCCAATATATCCTCCAATTTTTCTGGCGTTTTACTTTTGCTCTTGCGATTGGATGCAACGGCCACAGCAGCGGCATTCGCCTTGTGCGCCTTCTTAGCCTGCAGCCGCTTGTCCTTGGGCGACAATAGAAACTCCGGCTTATCCTTGAGCTTCTTTTGACGCACCGCATCGATAGCGGTCAACTGCTGGCCATAATGAAAATCAACGCCGCTGGCATTTTGGACGGTGCGACGCTTGCGCTTGGAGTGGCGCTGGCACAGCTTCTTGACCATGTCATGCGTGTAGAGCCCAAACAGGCCCAGAAAATGCTCGCGTCCATATTCGGCGGGCAGGACACGCGTCTCGCGCGGCTCATCACGCCACTGTGCCGCCGAGGCGCACAGGCGCTGCTGCTCCAGCTCCAGCTCCTGATGCGAATCGTCTGAGGAACCGGATGAACCAGATGATGCACCTGCTGCTGCCGTCGCCTGCGGCGCCGCCTGCGCTAGCGGCGGTGTCGCCGGCTTGCGTCCAGCACCATGCGCATTGCGTGTCTTGTACTGTTTGCTGGTCGCCTGTGGCGCTGATTTCTTCGCTGCCGGTGCTGCAGCACTGGTGGATGCCGCAGCTGCTGCTGCTGCTGCTGCTGTTGTTGTTGTTGGCGCTGTTGCAGTTGCTTCCATCGCTTTGACTGGTTTGCTTTTAGTGGGCGCCACGCTTGGCTGTGGCGGACTCTCCGCTATCTTCTCGACGGGCAGTTCTAAGACATCCTCCTCATCGAATTGACGTGGTTGCTGTTTGGTTTTGCGCGCGCGACGCAATGCCTGGCGCAGATGCATTCGGCTCTGAGCGACTTCCTCAAAATCTGTCGCCAGCGGTGTTTTCGTAATGGGCGCCAGCGGCGGTGGCGATGTCAAAATACGTTTTACCGCCTGCTTGGCATCCGCACGCGGCGCACGCTGTTTGGAGGCTACTAGCGGCGGGGGCGGTGGCGGTGGCGTTGGGGGCAATGGCAACGGCGACAGCTGGATTAATTTTGCTTCTTGCTCCTCGGGTGGCTCCAAGCCACGCTGTATTAGCAGTGAGTGCAGCTGTTCCTTTTTGGACGCCGGCAAAAGATCCTTCTCAGTCTGCAGCTGGGTGGGCTGCATCAGCGATGGCGATGGCGATGGCGAAGGCGACAGCTGCGCTAAGCCACCTCCAGATTCGATTTTTTCGTCAAGCAGCTTCGGTTCGCCGGCGGCCTCGTCGCCAGGCGGCGGCTTAACGCCAACAGTGGCAGATGCAGTGGCAGTTGCAGATGCACTAAGTGCATTGACGAGCATAAGCGGCACATTGTCATCCAATTCGCTAAGCTTGAGCGGCTCAACGCCACCATCGTCGTCCTGTGAGATTAGAAAATGCTTGCGTATGAGCATCTCCTCGCTGTCGCGGCTGAGCACAGATTGCGGATAGATTTTATAGCTGGCATCGCCAATCAAAGGCACTATCAGGCTGGAAATGTACTCGTTGGCCATCTCAGGTACAGTCCGTATATTGTTCTCCTCCAGATTCTTGTAGAATGTGTCCAGTTGATGGTCCAGGCGCAACATTAAAAACTGCTGCTCAGCATTTATCTCATATACCTCCGCCTCCAGTTCGTCAAGGATGCGCTGCATCTGCACCGGATCCTGCAGGTGTTAAATAATATGTTTTCATTAAGATATTTAACAATATGCAATGTAATCGTGGCACATGACTAAGTGCCATAAAACAACAACAACGACAATTGAGCAATTTAGTCGTGTCTTTATTTTATTAATTCATACGTGTTTCGCAAATTTTTGTTTCACGACCAACAAATTAATAGAGAAATTATCCACGTTAAGCAAAAAAAATTAAATACAAGGAATTGTTAAAATGTCTCTAAAAAAAAAAATAAAACCCATAATAGGAGTCCCTACCATTGGATACCCTGTAGCCAAACTTAGCACATCATAGGTATACACAATTCTTACCTTATTATACACACATACTCAAAACACACACACACACACACACACACGCACACACACACACTTGCCGTTAGTTGCGCACTTAAAGCAGCGGCTACGCTTCTTCTTCCGGATTCGCTTTGTGCACAAATTTTTGTTGGAAAACTTTTGTGTTTATTGTGCGATCGGCAAGAATATGGCAGTTATGTGTGCTTATACAAGAAATCAAGGATATAACTTTAAGAAAAGGTTTCAGTTGATTATATTATATATATATATATATATATTTGATTGGCTACAGGGTACATGTAAAAGACAACCTTTCATGTATGTCTATGTGTATGCATGTGTACATACCCGCATACATGCACACATACATGCATGCATGTTAACCCAAATATGTATATCATAATTCCCAATAACCATTTATTGCTTTGCTTTGATTTTGATTTGTCTTTCAAATTCTTGTGCTCAAGTGTAAATCTTTTTTTTTTTTTTTTGTTATTCAATTTAGAGTATACGCATTACAATGCTCCTGACACGCGCTCATCTCTAATCGAGTGTAAAACAGAGCACTAAAATTGTAAATGAATTAAGAAAAGCAGCGCTGGCCGCTGTATTATGTGTTTGGGCTATTGGGGCTATTTAGAGCGAGGGGTGTGGTGCGGACTGTGGACTAGCTGGGAGTTGGCAACCCTGCCGTCGCACACCTCTGCTGTTCTGTTGGGCACATTATTATGTTACTCCAAACAAAGAAAATACACATATATATATATATATATATATACACATATGTAATTTATAATTATGGACATAATGCAGGACGGTTGTATGGGCAACAATGAAATGTGGACTTACCGCATCGGCCTGCTCCTTGAACACATCGGATACCAGCTGCAATGCCCATGGATATATCGTGGAACAGAAGTTGAAGTTAGCCAACGGTCACACAGGTTGGTTTTACGTATATTTTGTTGTTGATTTTGCTGTTACTCACCCCGTGCACTTTGAGAAAGTCGCGCATTGCACGCTGGCAGTAGATAATGTCATTCTTGAGCTCCAACGGCAGCACGTAACCATTTTCAATGTAGAACTTGAACAATGAGGACTCCTCGGGTGCGTCGTCGTTGCTGTTGGCGGTGGCGCTCATCTTGGTTGCCTCAGAAAGAAACGAACTTGATCGAGATTCGTTACTTGGCATGAACGTTTGAAATATACATATATATGTATATATATTTCTGTGCTACGTTTATGTATTCCTCCTTTTTATCCCCAGTTTTCCAAGCAGCGTGAGCGGAGCGATTTCAAAATTCGCGACCTGCTCGCAATTCTGTTGGCGCTGGCAGCAACAACAGCGCGACAAAGCAACAACAGGCAGCAGGAAGCTGCAAATATACCAATTAATTGCTGCATATCGATATATCGATATATTTGGAAACGACGATCTGGCAGCCTTATCCAGCTATCGTGGCATCGATACTTTCGCATTTGTCTTGGATTCTGTTTCGTGTTTCGGGCCAAAGCCAAACATTATCATTTTCATTTTTCTCATCAATAAATAAAAATAGCAACTAAATAGAGCGAAATTAACAGTATACAATAGTTGCTTGCAGTGCACACAATACAAAAAAAAAAAAAAGGAATACATTTTTAAATCAAATTATAAAATCAAAAGTGTAAAGTGCATTACGGTTGCAAGCATATCCAAGCGCCAATTAATTATAAAAACAAAAAACAACTCCCACAATGTGTAAGTGAATGAGTGTGCTAAAAAAATAATAGAAATATGCAAAAATTATAAAATAATTGCCTACAGCAGCAGCAGTTCAAGAAAAGGCGACAGCCCCACAACAAAAATGTTGCTGTCGTTGTAGTTGCTTTTGGTTCTTGTGCAGGCAACGGCATCGCTCAACAATTCCGTTCCCGTTTCGCTTTGTGCGGAAGCGAGCGAGAAGCAGCTTGCTGACGCCCCAATACGGCAGCAACGACAACGAAAGTAAAATTTCACCCAAATTTGTTTGTTTTTGCTGGTTTGCTCTTTGCCTTTGCCTTCCTCCCCCTCGCCCCCGCCCTCGCCCTCTTCCACACACCACACTACACCACTTGAGGCACTCGTACAAAAGCTGGGCAAACAAGTTTTTGCTTTGGCTTTAGCTGCTGCTGATTGCTGCATATTTATTTATCTTTGTTGTTGTTGTTTTTTTTTTTTTTTTTAACCCTTTCAGTTATTGGTTTGTTTAGATTCATGCCAGCAGCGGCAAGCCGGCTTGCGCGAAAGTTTAAAACGGCATTTTGCCCTCCTTTGGCTGCCTCTAGTTACCCAACAGCTGTATGTGTGTGTCTATGTGTGTGCCTGTGTCTGTCTGTCTATGTGCCGTTAAACTGGTTTAATTGCACTCTGCATCATCGCTTCATTCGTAGCTGCGGCTTACGCTGTTGCTTAACTCTTTGTAGTCAAGATGAAAACTTTTGCCAATTTTGCCATTTGCCAGTATTTCTAGAGTTTACGTTTTATTTTACGATTATTGGCCAGACAGGCCATATGTACACGTGTGTGTGTGTGTGTGTGTGAGTGTTTATGGGGCCACACTTGCCGATGTGTATGATTCTTATCAGAAGCTGCGACGTGATGCCTTTGCTTATGTATTGTTTACTTCGCTTTGCAGTGTTATCAAGTGTACTTTTTTCATGAAAGATAGTGTTGCTTTTGATCTTACACACATATGCATGTGCGTTCATACGCCCGCAACGGTACTTAGAAATTCGTACAATAAATTTGAGTGGGGGCGACATTTTTTTTTTTTTGCCGTTTTCTTTACGGCTGAAAGTGTACACTCATTGCTTCCAAGTGCAGCCACACAGATGCATTTGCACACAAACACGGGGCACAGTTAATGGGCTGCAGCTGCTAGGGCTGCGCGTAATTCAATTTTAACTTATGCGCAACTGTTTTGTTAAGAAGACCACGCCCACCAGACGCATTTCCACAGCGCACAAAAGAACGCATCGCAGTTGCCGATCAACTTCCTCATGTATATGCATATACATATTGTGTGTGTGTGTATATGTCTGTGTGTGTGTGTGTATGTATGCATATGTTCATGCGTTGCATAAGTAAAAGTTGGAATGATCGTCGAGACATTAAGAGATGTGCATGATATTCGGCATATTGATAACACATCGATAAATCGATTAACCTTAACTCACGATATTTTTCCGGTGACATATATTTTCATTGCTTTCGATAAAAGTATACAATTTCAAAATTATGAAATCAAATTGCTTAGCAATATTTATGTAGATTAGCTCTTGCATTTAGTGAATGCTAATTAAAAAAAAAAATGGACTTTCTCTTATAAGAATTATAGATTGATAGAACATAATAATATAATGTGACTGCACGGAATGCCCAAGTTTGTTTTAGAAGAAAAACAGAACTACAAAAACAATCAAACCATGCGATGGGGCCGGATAACAGTCAAGTGAGGAGGGCGCATCTGATCATTTTGCAATGAATTTTAACTGTTTGTAAATCGTCTAAAAATTGTAATAAAAAATATATATATGTTGAAACATAAATCAGACGGAGATTAAAAAAAAAATAATAATATTTTTTTTTTTTTGATTATTATGTCAACGTTCCGTAACAGTTAATAGCGACAAAATTACGGGAATACCTATACACCGGGGGAGAATATTAAAGTGTTATCGAAACCATTATTGCTAGAGGAACATTTTTGCATTTAAGCGTTTTTTTTTATTTCCTAACGACTTTTTAACAATATTGCATACTGTGAAACTGGTGCGGCTTTAAGCATACAAACTATAAATATGTACAAACGTATGTATTTGACTACATTATAGTAATTGTTAAATAAGTCACAGACGTTTTTGTATTAGTTTTTAACAAATTTGTGGTGTATCGGCTTGCACGCTCAATGAAGGTCCCACAGGTGGCAAATGCAACTCAAGATATAGGAACAGTTGGATGTTTTACCAATAGCACTACCAGTCCCGATATACTTGCAGCTGACGGTATCACCCACGGTGGAGGCAACGGCAGCAATAACAACACCTCCGATGGCAGCAGCTTGGTGGCGAAGGACGTCAGTCAAAGTGCCATCACGCAGGACCTGTTGAACAAGTGGCGCGAGAACTTTTACAGCGAACCGAAGAACCTGCTGGCTCAGAATGTCTGCTCCAGAGTGGATCCGTTCGATGTGTGCCTGTCGCGCAAGACGCTCGAGACGACCAATCATGTGTTCAACTTTAAGGTGGAAACGGAGGGCAAGCCGGTGACCAACCAGCGTAGCTCCGGCCGCTGTTGGCTATTTGCGGCACTCAATTGTATACGCCTGCCCTTCATGAAGAACTACAATCTGGATGAGTTTGAGTTCTCGCAGGCGTTCCTCTTCTACTGGGACAAAATCGAGCGGTGCAACTATTTTCTCAACAACATCGTGAAGACGGCGAAGCGTGGCGAGAAGGTTGATGGCCGTCTTGTTTCGTTCCTGCTGCTCGATCCTACCTCTGATGGCGGCCAGTGGCATATGCTGGTCAATCTGATAACCAAACACGGTCTGATGCCAAAGAAATGCTTTCCGGAGAGCTTTAGCTGCGAGTCCAGCATACGAATGAATGCCATACTGAAGAGCAAGGTGAGCTTCATCATCCTTATGTCCAGCATTTTGCTCATTAGCTCACATCATATCTTAATTGCAGCTGCGCGAATATGCACGTCATTTGCGCGTACTGCTGGAAAAGGAGCCCAGCGATAAGGAGATCGCCTGCAAAATCCAAGAGCAAATGTCCGAAATTTACAAAGTTGTCGGCATTTGCTTGGGCATACCCGCCGAGACCTTCACCTGGGAGTACTATGATAAATCAAAGAACTATCAGTCAATTGGGCCCATCAGTTCGCTGGAGTTCTACGAGCGCTATGTGAAGCCGCATTTTAATGTCGAAGATAAGGTGTGCCTGGTCACTGACCCGCGTCCAACTAGCAGCTACGATCAAGTCTATACGGTCGACTGTTTGGGTAATGTTGTTGGCGGCCGTCCCGTTCTATACAACAATCAAAATGTTGATCTTTTGCTGGCGATGGTCACGAAATCACTGAAAGCTGGCGAAGCCGTCTGGTTTGGTTGTGAAGTTAGCAAGCGTTTCGCGTCCAAGCAGGGCATTGAGGATGTGGATGTGTGAGTGCCATATATCTATTTGCATGGCCAATGGCTCTTTATCTAATTAAATACATCCGTCTCTCTCTTACCTGTGCCGCTGTTGCTGCCATTGCTGTCACTTTCGTATTGATGTTCAGCCACGATTTCAAGCTGGTCTTCGACATCGACATACAAACAACATTCTCCAAGGCGGATCGTCTTATCTATGGCGAATCAGCCATGACCCACGCCATGGTATTCACAGCCGTCTCAGTCGATGTAAGTGGGACAAAGTTTCTTATCGCTATTGTAATATTATAATGCCAAATTTATTGCTTTGGGCTTGCAGAAAAATGGCGTGGCGCATAAGCTGCGCGTGGAAAATTCCTGGGGCGAGGATCGTGGCGAGAAAGGCTACCTGGTCATGTGCGCCGATTGGTTCAGGGAGTTTGGCTTCGAGGTGGTCGTCGATAAGAAGTATGTGCCCGATGATGTGATGCGCGTATTTGACATGGATCCCATTGTGCTGCCTGCTTGGGATCCCATGGGCACATTGGCGCAATAAATTAATGATCAGCCAAATGGGAAAGCTTTACAAGAACAAAATTAACAATAACTAACAGTACTGCAAGCAATAATCCACAAATACTTAAAATTGTATGTTCAATTTCAGAGATAATTTAATTTAAAGTCTTAGCCAGATTTCTATATACTTTTTCTCATGTATGTATGTATATGTGCATGCACTTTAGCTTGACTCGGCTGATATTCATTTAAATGGCTCACATAACACATTATAGATATATATATATATATACACATGAATACACACACACACACACACACCACATAAATGTGACGTCAATTCTTTTGGTAGCATTCTATTCTACATATACCCTTAACATGCAAAGAAACAAAACTGCGTAGTTTAAGTAAAAAATTGGAATGTTTTGAAATGGCAAAGAGAAGTTTTGCGTGCTTTAGTGCCGGCCAAGCGCAGTTGAAATGTTAAGAACGCATTTTATACGTACATATATACATATAAATAAATAAATAAATATATATATATATATATATACATACATGAGTATATACACATATATAAATAAATATATTGAATACAAACATAGAATTTGTAAATTGTATATTTTGTATCTTAAAAACTAGCAGTAAACCACAAAATCGTTTTATATCTAGACTTTAAGGCTAACAGTTATGAATTGTTATCCGCAGCTAATCGACGCCCCCGGCGCTCCTGATACTCGAAACGCAATCGCAGCCAAATGCCCAGGCACATACGGACCAGTCGCTGATCGTGCTCCTCATGCTGCTTCGCAAACCGATACTGGGCACGTATCAATCGCTTGGCTCGGCGCAGTTGACCGCACTGGATGAGCGATATGCTGTAGTATAGCTTGCAGCGAGCTTGCAAAAAAGGATCACCTAGGCGCAGGCCAATCGTAAGCTGCTGCAACGAGATTTTGCCCGCTGTCTGAGCCTGTAATATGCCGAATTGTTAATTGATTATTAATAATCCCTGTTGCTGGTTCTGGTCTCCACTCACGCATCTTTCAAATTGTTCACCTAGTGCTGAAAAGCCGCCACCCAACGTGGAGAGCCACGACATTAAATGTTCCACTTCGATGTGTTCCCATATTGTATGCGCCAGCATATCCGCCCACTTATAGTCGATGGTGTCGTGTTCGGGCGGATGCAATGAAAGCCACAACAGCTGTACTTCATGGTCACGCTCCAGTCTATGACACAGTACCTTTTGCTGCAGTAGCTCGCGCAGCCAGTAGTTGCCAGCGATGGCATCTAGCTCCAATGACAGCCGGCGAACAATTTTTTTATGGCTCTTGCCGGTGTCGCCCGCCGCAGACTGGACGGGCTGCCGATTATAGTAGTGGCGGCGTTTCCAATAATCGCAGACACACACAATTAGTGTCATGCTGTGATCTGGATGCGTTTTGCAGTATTACCTGATATCTTAGCTAAACTCATTAAACACGGCGAAGAGTGGGCGAAGCATTAAGTTTTGTACTCCAATATATCTACGTTTTTTGTGTCATCTGTTTTAATACGTCTTTTAGATAATATGGCAACGCTAGCGATATTTCTACTCGATATATCGATGGTTTGATTACAAAATTAAATAATAATTGGATTAATTCTTAAAAATATACGAAAACCGTTAAAATTTGAAAACTTTCAATATTTTTATTTTAAGCAACGAAAACCTAATTTAGCTTATTGAATAAATTTCGACTACAAAAATGTGTGGGTAGCTGCGAAAAAAAGCTATTCTTAAAAAATGATAGCGTATACTTAGTATTAAATGTTCCATAATTAGGATTTGATTGAATTAACAGTTCCAATAAAATCGCTAAAGCTTAAAGATAAAGCAGCTCTCTTGATACGATAACGCTTACGGAAAAAGCTCCCCTTTCGACTTAACTAAGGCACACAGCAACAGGCAATCGCGATAACGCTTCATGAAACCGCGCTAAGAAGGTGCCCGCTCGTTGCAACTGCCTTTAGTCTAGATTTGAGGTTCAGTGGGTGCGTTTCAAGTGAGGTGCGAATATCGACTTGAACTACATTAATATCAATACATTGAAAATCAATTGTGTCACAGTGTTAAATACCTACAATGAAGTTCTTTTTGCTGGTGATTGCTGCTCTTGGCTTTTTGGCCTACGTTAGCTGTGGTAATGCCATCATATATAATTATTTTTTCTATTATAATGCTATATATGGTATACATACATATTTATGAGTGCAAGTGCTTTATGTAATATTAGGTGTTTTCGACAATTTTTTTTTTTTTTTTTTTTTTGTAATCTTATCTTTTATGTATATAAGCTTTTTGCTTATCAAACGATAAGCATGGGCGTATCATATGTGCGAGTGAAATATCATTTATACACTTAACGCAACCGGCAAACACTTGGATTACACATTTTTCTACCTAAACTACAGTGATATCATATCTTCAAGCATATATATATATATATATATATTGTGCAAGTACACAAGTAAAATTTTGCAGATTTTACAAAACACATTTCGTTTAGGCAAAAGCAGACACATTTAGTCATATGCAAACAGATGTTTGCACATGTGCACTTGATAATGGCAGCAAGCTTTGTCACGATCTAATCTTGCCACCTGTTGCAATAATGACTCATTAATGAGTTTCTAATGTGGCCGTCGCCCCTTTCATGCGTCAAGTGTGGGCACATGCAATGTGCATTTCCCGGGACAACAATGTGTTTCTTTTTTTTTCGACTATATTTTAAGCTTTTCTGCTTATATTTGCGTTTTTTCTATATGAATATACATTCGAGCAGTGCTTAAAGCACCTGTCCACCTGTCCACTAAGAGAAAAAGCGAAAATATTAAACCAAATTTTGCTCAGTTCTTTTGCTATATCAAATATCAGTTTATTACTCCTATTGTTTCCCAAAAAAAAATTCAATTAAATACATTTATTTCATATGTAATGAATCATGTAATCAGTATGTACGTACGTATGTATGTATGTATGTGCTTATATGTACATACAAATGTTGTGTGTGGATAATGTAATGTTTATTTGGCATTAGCATACATTTTGCAGAATAGTACAGATTTTGATGTACATAAGCTTAGACCTATGACAGCGAAGGGTGCATTGCACCTATGGGATATTTTGTGCTGGGCGACTTTCAAGAATTGATGTATACAAATGTACTCAAATTGACGTGCTTCAATGTATAAACGATTTAGTATGTATATAACATGAGGCTTATCTTAATATATTGATATATCTGCCCTTGATATAGATTTAGATCGTGCCATGCTTCTACAAGCAGAAAATTAGGCATTGAAGCAAGCGCTTATCTTTCCAAGGAACACACACACATCCAAATATATATGTAGCAGTTGCTTACTAACATTTACATTTGTATATTTGTTGCTGATAGCAGCAAATTCAATATATAAATTGTGTCATAATTGTCAATTGTTATGGCTAATTAGAACAGATTGTATTCGACTGTAGATAATAAATATTTTCTCTATATACAAATAATTGATGCACATACGGCAACGCCAAGAATTGTAACGGCAAGCAGTTAAACAATTGAGATTTCAATTTGAAGTTCATAATTTTTGAAACTCCGGCAAGCTCTTGTTTAGCTTTTCGCGGGCGTTGCCATAGCTAAAAAAAAAAGTGGTTTAAATTTCGCGCAAAATATAAAACGATATTCAATTTCTTGTGAATTTTAACTTATTGTGCTTTCACTGAAACTGTTATTTACGCCCGACTATTTCTATATGCCTCCACAGATGGCTGCGTACAGTGCCATTCGAAGACTGATGAGCGCTGCGCCACCGATCCGTTGAATATACTGACCAAGGATTGCGCTACCAATAGCTCCCTTTGCTACACACGCGTGTTAAGTAAGTGCAAGATGCAAGATGCCTTAATTGTCTGGGAGTTGGTGTATTGACCTAAGCTTTTTGACAGATGGTTACACGATCCGTGGCTGTGCCAGCGATCTGGACAATTCCACATTGAGATCATGCAACAATGAGCTGGAATGTTTGACCTGCACATTCATGGAGGGCTGCAATCGTCAGATTTTCCCACAATATCGCCCCAAATGCCTGCAATGCTCCGGCAATTCAACCAATTCCAGCTGCGCCATCGAGAACCATGCCTACAGCAAAGTGTGCCCAATCTATCGCCTCGGCGACAAGTGCTTCATACGCAACAGCCAGCGAGTGGCGAATGGCTCCTTCCAGCGCGGCTGCCTCAGCACCGCACAGGCCAACAAGCAGTGCATCATCGATGGCAACTGTTACACCTGCGAGGGTCATGGCTGCAATGCCCTGCTGGCCAATGATACGCTCATACCGGTGGCTCGCGATGGCGCCGTCACCGTCATCATCTCGCTGACCCTGGTGCTGGCCTGTGCCCTTATCCATCTGCTGCTGTAGGACGCACTGCAGCAGCTGGCTGCGAGTATTGTTGAGCGTTGAACGACATTTAAAAATTTGTATTGCCCATTTTTTTTTTTACATATTTACAATTTACATTTTGCATATGCCGTATATTTTTTAAATAAAGTAGAAATTAACAAAAAAAAAAACAACAACAAGTAATCAAAACTAAATGGTGAAAATATCGCGCCTTTGAACTGCAACAACAAAGATTTCCAATTGCAGTCGCAACATTATGTTGTAGTTTTTATGGGCTGCCATTGAGTTGGCCACTGCCTAAGGACTGGCTGCCACTTGCCCACCCGTTCCAACGGTTGACATTTGCCGCCAAGCAAACACACACACACGCACACACGCACATTGGTGCATACATAATCATCCCATAGAGCCGAATGGAACCGGAAGCTCCGCCAATGCATAAATTTATCAACGCCTTAAGAACAAACGGCAGTCTCGAAATTGACTCTGCGTACGAGACAAATGCGGAAACAGTTCCAAGGAGAGCATCCATCCATCAGACACATACATGCACATCAACGATATAATAAACACTATGTATGCGGGGGTAATTCACTTCATAGTCTTAGGAAACCCATATACGAGCGGAATATATATATATATATCTATATATAGTATATGGTATGTGCACCATGACAAACATTTTCCATGGCTCGGTTCGTGATTGGCGCAAACCCATGCTTCGTCTTAGGGTTCGTTTTATGG